CTTTAAACATTTTTTTGTTAATTCTGTAATGTAAAATAACTGCAAATGACTTTTAACCCATTTACCTAACATTTGATAAAAATGCAACTAAAACTGTAATGTTCATTGATGGGAGCATCTAAACCATGGAAAAGTCTGTTTTATTAAGCATTAAGGCAACAAAATATATACTTCTAATGTTAATCTCAGGTTTTTCCTACTTTTTACATAAACCCTTGCAGTAGCAGTGATATGTCCAAGAATCCATCAAAAACGATACTTCCTCAAATATACTCAGAATTATCTAGGGAATGCAGATAGCCATTTTCAATTCATTATTATACAGTTTAGCAATTATTCTTTAAGTGTGATGCTTCCATGAAATTATCAATTATTTATACTGAGAAATCTCCAAGGAGGCTGGGGATTCAAGAAGACTCTACATGACGATTCAGTACAAATAATAAACCACCCCCAATGATCTCAGGATTCAGTCCTTAGGATATCTATAGATTCTTCATACATAGGTTCTTTAATGCTAAATATTAATCATTACCAGTTATGATAACCAGTACCAAAGAAGAGCTTGTTCATGCTTTCTATTACCTCCAATTACTGCAGAGTCACTTTTGATTGCATTAGCTCGGGGTTCTCTGTCATCTCTTGTTCCAGAATGATCTGCAGTTAAAGGACAAAAAAAAAAAAGAAGAAAAAGAAAGAAGGAGAAGAAGGAGAAAATTTTAAAAATTCATAAATGTTTCAAACCAGACAGAATTATGTAGGTCAATGTGGGATCTCTTTTATTTTAAACTTAAGCAATGTCAACTGCAATGGCCCACATGCATGAGAAAGTGAGACTCTAGAGAAGAAAAGGGAAAGAGAACTGACAGTTAAACCAAGTCAATTTTAAGAAACCATTTCGAGCATGGAGCGTCAACAGCAACATCAGAAGATTTTAAACCCAATGGGCAAGCTGAGTGTGTGACTGGGTAAAGGAAGACCCAAATGCTACCTGCAAAGGAGTGTGTCCTTTCCCTGGATGTGGCATCAGTGCCAGCCTGGGCCACACAGCTGGACTCCGTCACGTGTCCCGAGACTGTGACAAGGGCTGGGCGGTTGGGGTGCAGAGCGGCCTTCAGAGGGGCCACATGGCTGAGCTGCACTGCAGAGAGGCAGCCCAGGAAGCCCTGCGCACCAGCCAACGCGGTCTCCTGGTCAATATCACTAGGCTCTGTGAATCCAAAGAAACACCGCAATGTTAGTAGTGCAAGTGCAAACGGGACTGCCACAGATGGAATGTTTTGGGTATAATAACGCAATAGCAAAATATATATATATAGCAACTAACTTCCTTCTTCTTTTCTCTTTATTAAAGGAGTCAGAACCAGTAAGTCTCCACG